TACCCGATCTTTTGCCGACTCAGGCACCAACTAGAGTCGACTCTCCAACCATGAGGACGAAGAGATTGACCTTTGTGTGCTCTCTACCCTCTGACATGATTGGGTTTTCGACTTAACAAAAACCGTTCTGTCTAGCTCGTTGGGTCACAGTTTCAAAAGCCATCAACTTGAAATATAACAGCTAAGTAAAGAGGATTTTTGTGTTAAATATACAAAAATTCTCATATCCACATCCAAAGCACAAAGTCCTAAAGTGGCACATTCCGTGATTTTATTTTCAACTGAATGCAGAACATTGATTCGTTATCTTGTCTTTCAGCTTGCTGGTGAGTTTCTGGAACCCGAATGCATCAGTCCCACGTTCTTGACCTGTCATCCCAGTATAATGAGTCCGTTGGCTAAATGGCATCGCTCGCGTCCAGGACTAACTGAACGTTTTGAACTGTTCATATTGCGCAAAGAAATTTGCAATTCATACACAGAGTTGAATGATCCAGTTGTACAACGAGAACGTTTTGTGGAACAAGCAAGGGTGAGTACTTTTGTGCCCTACCGTACATGTTATGCGGCAAATGGTTCACAGTTCCAGTCGTTTCATGCAGCCAATATTTGGGCATGTTTTTTCCGTTTGCTTTTGTTCAAATTTCTTTCTGGCGGATCGGTCAACTTCACGAATGTCACGGATCTTCTTGGCTAATGCTTATTGATTGGTTGCCAGATTATTATAGATCGTCATCAAGTTTTTTCTTTGGCGAAGGCCTTAGGTCAATCATAAGCTTAAGTGTAGATAGCATTAATCCGCCTTGAACGCCACCACCGAGGCAACGGCCCCATTTCAGGCAAGGTGCAAGGTAACATGTTTATATTGTCTGCATATAGGAGCGCAGTTGTCTGAACCACTGTCACCGATGTGATCAAGAATTTTTTCAATTAGGTGGCTTGTTTGATTTCGTCTGTAGATAATTTTCCCTCCATTTTAGTCTAAGGACACACCGTAGGTACCAGTGATCGAGTACATCTAGTCTCCCGGCTTCCTCTGCTCTCAGTGGCTAAGCTTTACATCTGTAAGGGTGAATGGGGTAGGTAAAAAAATGGAAAACGTGGATATCTGTACTAAGAATGATCTCATTACGAGTCCGGAGCAGAATGCTCAACTAAGCTTACATTTGTCATGCAGTGTCGATCCTCGTCATTTCGTCTTTCGCTTAAAGGCTCGGTAGTGAAATCGAATTGAGGTATCTGGTAGTAGCACATTCTCCATCTATTTTCATTACGCACCTAAGTATGATGGACAGAAAATGGGGTGAACCCCATAGTCACTAGGACCTGCTGTTCAGTGGGGAAACCGGCAACCTAAGCCTCGTAACTTTGAGTGGCGAATCACAAGGCCCCGATAGGTTAGGCGTGGTATTGAACCAGGCGTAAGCAGAGCTGCCTGCCACCTACCTACTGGCCGTTTGTCAAGGACTACTGAGAACCTGGCCATGAGAACATTAAGAATGCTTCCGTTTTCTTAGCGGTTACTTCTTGGCTGACGGTCGTTGCCTACGGATGGATTTTGTCGAGAACCGATCGAAGCGCTTTGAGCAATCACCGAGGACGACGATACCGTCTAGAGACAGCAGAGTCGCGAGGTAATTCCTAGAGCTATTAGGCAGAGTAGGTGTCTCCTGACCTCCAGGTTGGGGTTCAAAAGACTAACTGGTTGGTTGGAGACGGAAAGATATGGCAGCTGATCGATAGCAGTGGCCTTCTTGTTGTCATTTCTTATCAGGCTCTGTTGTACCGTCGATGGTCTTCATTCGCGACACATCCATAAAAGGTACTTGTCATCGCACACACTGTAAACGCACACGAATACTGCTTCTACCTAGTTGACCAAATTCTTATTGGATATCCGGCCATGCATGGTTGACCTTTCCTTTTAATTCGCGGTGTTGAACACGAGACAAGCATACTAGGCAGGCTGCTGTGTACCAAATTAATTGTTTCCAAGTCGATTTTGATTTCAACTACGACACATGAACATTTATTCAATGGGCATACACCTGAGTTATTCGTGGTCAGCTTATTTAATAAGTGTTCTCCTATTCACGGTTCACAGACTTGTCACGTGGCATGTAACTCTACCTTTGGGTATCAATAAATCAACACCGGTCACGATCTGTCTATACATACCCTATTCATCCGTCGACGAC